GGGTCCTAGCCTTAATATTTCATTTGGGTGTTATATTAAGGATCATTATCTAATCTAAACTTTGTCTTTCTTTTCAGATGTCTACTTCAGACAATGCTTCAAACCCAATCCCTTCCGGCTCTTTATCCCTAATGAACCTATGTGGGAGAGTCATATTTGATGGATCGAACTTCAATGATTGGATTCAAAACATCCGCATGGCTATTCGCTACGAGGACAAAGAACATGTCCTCGATAAATAGCTAAAAGAGGTTGATGAAAACACTGCTACTCCCGAACAGATTACTGAGTATAAGACTCATGAGAGGGACGCGACAAAGGTGTCGTGTATTATGATTGCTACCGTGACTGCTGAGCTTCAAAAGTCCTATGAGGACTTTTGACCTTATGAAATGCATCAGGATTTGATGGAAAAGGTACCATCAAAGTGCTCGGCAGGAGAGGTATGAAATCATTGCCTCCATGATTACTACCATAATGAAGGATGGAGAGTCTATCACGACCCACTTGCAAAAGATGCAAAGGTTTGTGGACCTCTTGCTAAAGTTGAATGTCAATTTCGATGAAGAATTGGCAATTGACATTATCCTACACTCTTTACCTCCTTGTTATGATCAGTTTCATATGACTTACCATATGAACAAGGAGGAGGTGACTCTAAGCAAACTTCAAGGTCTTTTAAGAACTGCTGAAAGTAGTTTGAAAGGAAAATCTGTTGTACCTACTCCTACTACTACTATCCATGTCTTGGCAATTGGACAAGGGAAGGGAAAGAAGAGGAAAGCTTACTTAAAGAGCCACAAGGGAAAGTATCATGTTGGATCCTCTTCTAGTGGGTCTAATGGTGGTCCTGTTGGATTAGGTGTCTAAGCCCATAACTATAATTTGTATGTACTTGACTCGAGAGTAGCATCGTCCATTTGGGTTGCATATTACCAGGACAATTTGATAGGATGGACTTTTGAGAAGAGGTTATTTATGATTTATTAATATATTATAAGTTCTAATATATTAATATGAAATCATATTAATTAATTAGTATTGATCAAGAATTAGTTTGGAATTAATTTTGTGATCAAAAGAGACTAATTAAATATAAGGGGTTGATTTAGTAAATCATTCATTCTTATGGTGTGGGCCAATGATCCATGATTCCTTAGGTTAGGCTAAACCCATGTGACAGTCCATGGATGATCCATGGAGTTTTAAACCCATGGAGCCTAAGGAATATGGAAAGTCATGCCCATTAGGGTTTACATGGTGTAACCCTAATCTTGCCACACTATATAAGAAGCCCCTTAGCATCCAAAATGACACACTAGTGTTCTTGGAGTTCCATGAGCCGATTTTGGTGCAAATACTCTCTCAAAAGTCTCCTTTGTTCTAGGTGTGTTGTGATTCCATTTTAGGTGCAACACTTGGGGCACTAAGTTCTTAAAGGCCAAACTCAAGAAGTTCTACAAGCTACAACAAATAGGTAATTATATAACTCAATTCTATGTTGATTATGTCATTTGCATGCTAGTTGTAGGCTTAATGCTTTGGAAACAATATTTCATGTATAATTAGAGAAAACATAGATCCAAAGCATTTAGGGTTGTATGTGCACCAACATATCAAACTATAACCAAACAACATCCTACACAATATTGCATATATATTATAGCATTGTACCATTTTTTATTTTTCCATTATAGCATTGTACTATAACTAAACTTATGAAAATATAAGTAAATAACAAAATTATTACCAACATATCATTATAGCATTCTACTTTACAAATTAAGGTCAAATGATTATAGCATACTACTTTTTTCATTTTTCCATTATAGCATTGTACTTTACAAATACACTTAAACTAACAATTACATGTGATTGTAGTTGTTCCTGATCGTATATAGACACAACCATATAAGGTTTACTAAATACTCCTTGACGATCGGTATTAGCCTTACGAAATGCTTCGAGTCTAGTGATGTCATATTTAACATTAACAAATAGATTAATTATACTTTAAATAAATAGTTAAATATATCATAACTCACTTCTTTGAAACCGGCATTGCTATACGAGCACGACCCCCCTCTGTTTACAACTTGTTGTACACAGACTCCTTTGTTTACCGCCGAACGCTTTACAAATTCGGGCGTTTGAAAATGTTCGACTGCGTGTGCCTAATTTTCACATGAAATACCCTCGGGGGGGGGGGGGGTGGCTAATGCCCTTGGAATATCTGCAAGCCCTCTAACATTCTAAAAATAAGTATGCATGGTACTTTTCTAGGCTCTGTAATTTTTTTTGTAGAGTCGCAATAATGCTCCGCAACAACTGAGCACGCTGGGGGATCCAAGTTAACCTTGTCCAAATCAAACTTTCTCTACAAATACAAAAAAGTTAGTCACTTAAATACCAATCACAACTAAACTTAAAATATTATTCAAGTTACCTTCAAATGAACGACCGTGACTTCCTTAAAGTGGGGGAAACATTGTCCCAAGCAGATACGTTAAAGGGATGTTCTCCCACATATACCTCCCAATATCATAGGTAAACCAATTACCACGTTTCCCGACAGGGGAAAATGTGAGCTCCCTGTCGAAATCCAAATCAACGGGTTTTCCCGTGTTTGCTCGTATCAGCTTTGATAGTTAGATGTTTTTAGATAATCAAAAATACAATTAAAAATATTAGTCATGATAGTTTATAATAAATGAATAAAAATATCTAATAAATATATCATAATAAGACTTACCATCCTCTTCATGTTGTCCGTGACCAGAGCCTACTGGAGGTGGTGGATCCCCCGCTCCATCATCTCCATGTCCTAAGCCCATAACATTGACCATCATGTAAAAGAGTGTCACCCAACTAAACCTCATATATAGCCTGCAAAATTATAAGATGTATAATATAGAAACACAATATGAATAAAAGTTAGGATGCAAAATTATAAGATCTACAATATAGACAAACAATATGAATAAAAGTTAAAATTTGAATTTGGAATTCAAATAAAGTTTCTAATACAAAAAAAACATATACATATAGACAAAAAATATATAATTTTATCCTATTGTAACATTGTACTTTACAATATTATTGTTATTTATGGCATCTGTTTTTGTTTTTTCATTATAGCATCCTCCTTTTTTCTTCATTTTTTCCATTATAACATTATACTTTCCAAATAATCCCTTAAAAGTTAAGTGATGTTCCAATCAATACATACATACATATACATAAAAATACACTTAAACATACATCCTACACATATTACATATTCATTATAACATCCTACTTTTTTCTTTCATTTTTTCCATTATAGCATTGTATTTTCCAAAAAAGCCCTTAAAAGTGAAGTGATTTTCCAATCAATACATACATACATATAAACTTAAACATACATCCTACACATATTGCATTTTTATTATAGCATCGTACTTTATTTTTCATTTTTTCATTATAACATTGTACTTTCCAAAAAAGCCCTTAAAAGTTAAGAGATGTTCCAATCAATACATACATACGAATACATATAAATACACTTAAACATACATCCTATACATATTACATATTCATTATAACATGCTACTTTTTTTCAATTTTTCCATACATATATATACACATGACATACATATATATACACACATTACATATATTTATGTATTCTATTTCATATACATACATCATACACATTACATACATACATAATGCATACAATACGAAGAACTAGATTAAAATACTTAATGAAATGGAATAGAACTTGTGGTGGAACAAAATCAGAATGGTGGTGGTAATGTAGGGGTGTTGGGGTGGCAGAAAATTTAGAAGCTATGGTGGCGGTGATGACAACCCGAGTTTAGAGTTCAACAAAGCTTAATACACAAAATCAAACACCCAACTCAATAGATAATCATTTAGATAGTCATTTTTGAGAGTCAATAAATCGAAAAATAGGAGGAAGAGCACCTGTCTTAGCAGAAAATCTAGCAGCTGTGTGGTGTCATCGGTGTTGGACCTTCTATCGTCGGTGATGGCGGCCTTTTCGTCGTCGGTGATAGAGGATGCTTGGGTTTCACTGGTGATAGTCAATTTCGTTGTCGGAAATCGGGAGAGCATCGATGGATGGAGGGTAAAATGACAAAATACAAAAAGAATAACTGGAAGAGGGGTATATATGTGCACACATTTAGCTGCGATGCAAGGGGTTTTAGCGGCGACGATAATAGGGTTTTAGCGGCGACGATAATAGAGTTTTAGCGGCAACACCGTCTCGAGAAAATTATGCCCCGGTTTTTTTGGAGCATTAGCGGCGGCGGTGTCGGCGCCATTGACGTCGCCACTAATAGTTTAAGCGATATTCATTAGTTGTTCTATTAGGTTCAGATCACCGTTATTGCGTTGATTTCTTATAGTGATACAAATAATTAGTTTTCATCGAGATATATTTTAAAAAATATAATGTTCTATTCAGAAGAATTAGAACTATAATGCTAGCTACATTTCAATGGAATTTTCAAAATGTATTATCTTAATAAAAAATAATAGAATAATATTGAATTAAAAAAAAAGTATAAAATAAAATATTATAATACAGAGTTAAAGTCACTTGTTATTTTTGCATTTACACTTACAACTTAAGTAAACCGAATGAAATTGATATATTAGTTCATCAACAATTTTAAGATTTTTTAACTTGACATTTAAACTTAATTATAGCTTCCAAACATTTTTGTTACAGTTACAATTTGGTGATTTAACATTATTGACTTCAAAAATCTTCAACGCCAAACTTGCCGAACACAACTTGCAACACTTCAATATTTTAAGAATTAGTTGCAAACTCACTATGTAGACTACTTATATATACGAGGTTGGAGATCCTCTATCTCGTGTGCCATTATTTAATACAATATCATCTTTTGCAATTTCAAAAATTAAAACAAAAGATGATGATGTTGGGTGTTAAGACACTAGTGATAATTTTATTTTTACAGGCAATGTTGGTGTCGATGGTGACTGAAGCAGCATCTGCTAATAAGGTAAAGCGTGTTAAGCCTCCAAAGCCTGTGAAACCTGTACAAGAGCTTTTAACATGCAAGAGCCGAAAAAGCAGGTGTTTCATGAAGCGCATCAAGTGCCCAGTAGAATGCCCCAAGGTTAAACCAAAGAACCCGAAAGACAAAGCATGTTTTCTTGATTGCTATTCACCCAAATGCGAGGCCGTGTGTAAATGTAAGTCAAAGAAACCCCCCTCTTCAAAATTAGAAGATTTATAACATTAATGGTTCCAATAGTTTTCATTTATGGGCTGTTATAAGTGAAATACGCGAATAAAATGAGCAAATACCATCGAAAAAATATACACGCATGAAAATATATATAGTTCAACTGATAAATCATATATTTGGGTGCATGTTGATAGCACGTAAACCAAACTGCAATGGACCTGGAGCTGCATGCTACGACCCACGATTCATAGGTGGTGATGGAATTGTATTCTATTTTCATGGAAAAAGCAACGAGCATTTTAGTTTGATATCTGATTCCGATCTCCAAATAAACGCACGTTTTATTGGACTTAGACCTGAAGGGAGAACTCGTGACTATACGTGGATCCAAGCACTGGGTCTTAAGTTTGGCCATCACAATTTCACTCTTGAAGCAACAAGGACTGAAAAGTGGGATGATAATGTTGATCATGTAAAGTTATCATATGATGGGAAGGAATTGTTCATTCCAGAAAGCCATTCCTCCGAGTGGAATTCCACAGAAGGCAACATACAAGTTGAAAGGACTGCAACAACCAATAGTATAACGGTGAACATACTAGATCTTGCTGAAATATCTGTCAATGTAATTCCAGTATCAGAAGAAGATAGCAAGATCCATAATTATCAGATTCCATCAAATGATAACTTTGCTCATTTGGAAGTACAATTCCGATTCTTTGGTTTATCATCTAAAGTTGAAGGGATTCTTGGTAGAACTTATCGTCCTGATTTTGAGAATCCAGCAAAACAAGGAGTGGCAATGCCTGTGGTTGGTGGTGATGATAAGTACAAGACTAGTTCACTCCTTACGGCTGATTGTGCCCTCTGCGTGTTCTCTCCTAATGAAATCAAGGATGAACATGGCTCGCCAATGATGGATTTTGGCATGCTTGATTGCACGGGTGGAGGAAATGGAATTACATGTAAGAAATAAGTTTCACATATTACTTCACTCGAATGTTTTTTTATATTATATGTATGTAACGATTGATTTGTGTTCAAATTTTCTCATTTTTTATTTTTATTTTTTCTTTTGTACTTGGCAATGGTACCTGAAAACAAATTTGATTCTTTTTTTTATATGTTTTAATTGAAGCAAGAAAATGGAATAAACAAAAATAAAGACAAAATTACATAAATGGTTATGCTACGGTTTTCAGATATTTGGATTTTGACTCTAGCTTTTTTTTTTTTACATAGATGATCCCTATGGTTTCGATTTCTTATGCGGTTAGTGAATGCCCTACTTAAAAAAAATATACTCTTTTTATTTTATTTTAAAACTTGTTTTTTATTATATTTAAACTAAAAAAAGGAAAGCGAAAACAAAATTACAAAAAACCCTGTTATTTGCCTCCACTCCTACCACCACTCACTCAACACCGATCTTCACTTTAATATCGCCGAACTTCACTCCGACACAGCTAACAACGATCACTTTCTCTTTTCTCCATGATTAAAACTCATTTATATGAACTCTGATGCCTTTTTCCCAAAAGGGTCATTAGCGAAGAAGGATAATCTTAATTGGTTAGTTTTCTGTAAAAGTGATCACCATGATTTTTAATTAATTTCGTTTTTATGATTAGTTGGTATTGGGTATACTACTTTTTTTTGGATACAACCTGAATAGTGTGAAAAGATCCAGAATGTTGTGGGAGATGGAAGCAGGTGAGCTACAAGGTCATGGAAAATGTTTAGATGATGTATATGGGCTCTTATTTTGGAAAATAAGGCACACCCAATATGGAATGATAATCAATAGATTCTAAGTTAAGTGGTGGTGGTGGGTGATGAACGATGGTAATTGTTGGTGGACGGTGGTGGATTGGTGATGGAAGATGGGAACATGGTGGGTACATGTAGGATGGTGTGGCTGTCTTGCCTATAGGTATTATTTTTTGTTTTGAAATGTAAAATCATTTTTCTATATATGATATCAGGATATGGCGGTGGAGGAGAAGGGATGGCAGTGTGTATTCCCGAGTTTAAATTATGTTTTGTGATTGGAAAACAATAAAAAAAAAGGGTAATAAGGAACTGTGTGTTTATGAGTTTGAATTCAAATATCTTACAACTCATCACATGAAAAATGGTTATTGGTCGTGGCGGTGGAAGGGAAGGGAATAAGGGGAAGAAAGGATGGGGTGGGGTGGGGTGGGTTAGTGGGTATAAGTGTATAGGGTAGCAATACAGTGGACCCTATTGCATGAATATTTTAGCCAATCAATAAAAATAAAAGAAAATCATAATTTAAAAGTGTAGAACAATCTTTTCATCTAGCTAAGGAACCAACCATGCATTCTAGGATGGATGCCTATGTGAGTCCCTCATTATATCCATACAAGATTTGGCCATTATGTTGTATGATGAGAGTGATAAATTTCTAGTAGTCCTTACTATGCATAAGCATGATAGCTACCCCTTATCTGGTATTTATGTGATGGTTCATGATTACCTAGCCCACGACGTGGACTTGGGAGATGTTTGTTTGGAATACGCTCATTCTTACATCATACCCATTAGTTGTTTTGGAATACACTCCCTCATAACTATATGGTGTATGTTTGGACTACGATCTTTCATACTCAAACTCCTAACCATCAAATTTGTGAGATTTGACTTCATGAGAGAAACTTGGATTTTGGGATAGTTGCATGTTGCATAACGTTATTATTTGTTTATCCCATTTTGTACTAAGTTAATCTTTGATTTTGCTTAACTAACACATGTTAGTTTAAGGTTGTTGGTTGTTTTGGGAAGTTGATTTATGGGTCATAAACCTTTAAACTTGATTTGGGTCATTAAACCCTTATTTAGATTGAAACAATATTTGATAAGGTTTTGGTTAATAAAGGTAAAATGACATATATGTCCTATTATGTTTCTAGGGTTGACCCATTTAGTCATTTAACTTATTTTGTGGCTTTATGAGGGAACGAAGTTGTTTTTGTCTGGTCGATTACATCATTTTGACCAAAGTGACTGGGTCACCGGGTTATACCTTTGCCATATTGACATTTGATGACCAATTTTCCACATTTGACTTTCAATTTTCCTAATTTTGACTATTTACATTGATTTTTCATTACCGCAACTTAAGCAGTCGAAATCAATCGGAAATTCAAAATTTCCAATCTTTAACTTCTTTAATCAGCCATCCATAGAGGGCATGTTTGACCCAAACATGAAAAAGATTGTTATCGGCGTTGGCGTTGAGACATAGAAACATGGAACTGAAAATAAATCAAACGGGGTGATTAAAGAGGATGCATCTGTGGAAAGTGAAGAAGAGGATGATGAAGTGATTGTTTTCCGGCCAAAATTGATTGATAATCGGATGGAAATGCCCCTGGTAAAAGACATCAATTAAGAGGGGTTCAAAATGTTCAAAGTAAAGATTTTGCGATTCAGGTTTCGGTGTACAATGTAGTCGAGCGGCCGTATCAAGAGACGGAAATCCCATTTGTTGATTTGTAACCAGTAGAGAAGTAATTAGCTTCGATCAACTCACGGTTACAAGGTGTCATCAGGAAAAACGTACCTACCAGCGGAGATTGAAGTTGTATGAGTTCCATGACCATCCGATACTCTTCTTCTCAGGCCAAATCCCAATATCCAAATCTCTAATAACAGATCCAATCCAAAATATGACTCCTTCAACAACCCTACACTAGTAGACGTGTTAAGCCCTAGAAACTCTGACGAACGCTTAGTATGCAGATGGAGAACTTGTTCGGGAATAAACAAGAGAACCCCAAAATCATATTCGAGCTCGGAATCCTCTACAATAGAAAGCTTAGCTGAGAAGCCATGGAAAGCTATATTTGTGATTATGAGTCAGGAATATTGAAGGATTAGAATCCTTCTGAACTCGAACAATGAATGTGATTTGGCATTGTCGGTCTGTACTAGAAACAATGAAAATAAGATGAAAAAGGTAAAGTAAGAAGTAGAAGTTAGCCATGGAAGATATTTAGATTTTCCGACCACCGTTGGTGGTGGTGAAATTGGGTTGAAATGAAAGTGGAAGATATGAAGAACGAATATTTAAAATTGTTGCAGTGGCAGTAGTGGCAGTACACTGTGAGCTGGAGTGAGATGGTTTGATTATCTATGTGGACACATGACTTAAACCTACTACAATAGGTAAGGATGACTAAAAGGTCAACCCTAGAAACATAATAGGGCATATATGTCATTTTCTCGTTAATAAAACCCCTACCTCTTTTGGAAATAATTTTTAGAAAAATGATTTTTTTGGAGATCGATTCAAGTAATTTAGATTGTTATCTTCTTACTCAAAATGTATCCACCTCGTGTATTCTTACTAGACCGTTTTATTTCCACAAGCCTAACTTATTTTGACATATGCTCGAAGATAAAGTCAAGAAGTAGAAGACTTTAACTTAGATTTTGAGAAGACCACAAATTGTATGGTGAGCTTGTTAACAACCTTGTTACTTTAAACTTGAAATGTCTATGCTTTTGGGATTGTTTTATTTCCACAAGCTTAATTCTGAACTAATTTAGATTTTTTAAAACTAAAAGATTTTCATAAAGGTGTTTTCGAATAGGCTCTAATGAGGGGTGCTACATGTAATTTGCTAGATATTTTTGATCTTTAGGTGCTAGAGCTGTAGGTAGTGATGGTTTTACTATGAATTAATGTACGGGGTATGATTTTTCTTATCAAGTTATTTTTTATTTTTTTTCTAATATGTTTATTCTATTAAAGAATTAACAATTATTTCTACACCTCCATAGTTGGTTGTAGTTGTAGGTGTGGTTACAAAACATGACTAATGTGAAGGTTGGTGACATTTAAGGTATGGACATATCTTGGTAAAGGAGACAAATGTGTTTTCATTGATGGTGAATACTGAAATGACATGCCTTCAAGATATCACATCATAGGTCAAGTTCAGTAGGTGAATCTTAAAAAGTGATTTAAGTCTCTATGTCCTTTGACATAGGGTATACATTGGTTTCTAAATGGGTGTAGTGTTATATCTTAATGCATGTCAAACATTGTTTTAAAACATGAGAGTTATAAAAGGCTGCAATAAAATATGACAAGAAGCTTAGGAGGAATACATATAGTGTGATATGAAATTGCTCTTATAATCATTATGTTTGATATTAATTAGGCCCCTTGATGAACTGAACAGATCTAAGCGTGTGGCCTTACCCATATATATGGTTGATTTCATTCATTGGTATATCAAGAAATTAGTTTATGAAACTGTAGAATGATTTGATCCATGACACTTGTTCATAAGTATTAGAATTAAGGGATATTTAGACGAGAAGCGTTACCACTAAGAAATTAGTGGATGCTTTATAGGGACAAATTTTTTTACATGTCTAAGGGCAATGACATTTTGATAGACCTTTACCATTATAAACCGCATACAATAGTCTCTTGAACAACACATAAATGAGTATAATTGAGAGTTTGTTGGATATCATGTACAAAAGATCAAATCTTTAACTATACTACTAATTATATGTTAACCTATGGGCTATACACAAACATCAAATAAAAGTCACAAAGTTATAATATATTCATATAAATGATAAATTTATCATTTACCAATTAGGAAAACTAAATAAATAATTGATTATCTATTATATATTAAATAAAACAAAATAAATAAAAACGGTTATAGATATTAAAAAACTAAAAAGGTTTATTATGAAACCAATTAACTAATTAATGTAATTAATTAGTTAAAGCTTTGTCTGTAACAACCCAAATTCCAGAATAAAATTTTCATTTTTAAAATAGAATAAACACTAATTTTTCAAAGTTACATTCAATTGTTCATAAACCATAATTCAAAACAGAGTTATAAGAAAGGCAATGCGAAATCTCAAATCATAAAACTGTTGATGTGTGTGTACAGTCCCGCCTTCACAATCCAATAAGTACTTGAAAAATATTTTAATCCACAACTGTAAGCACAAATCTTAGTAAGTCCCCCAAAATATCACATACAATACAACATAAATAAACAGTTGTGGGTTATCAGCAACCTTGGGGACTATCAGCAGTCCCAGTGGGCTAGGAACACACCCTATGGACTAACAACATGCTTTGTGGGCTAACAGCAACCATGTGGACTATCAATAGTCCCAGTGGGCTAACAGCACGCCCTGGAGCTATCAACAGCTTCGTAATACACATAACAACAATCAGCAAATAAGACCCGACTGGTCAACATGCACACTATGACATAAGTAATACAATGAGAAGAATCACATTGCAGATAGCAGCTAGAAACAATAACTCTCAAATAATGCAGATCGGTACTACGAGACACCTAACAACAATAAGGAAATACCCTCGCAGTCTACACCCTAAAACCCTTTAATTGACCAAAAATTGTGACAACCCGAAACTTCGACCGTTTCCGTTACGCGATTTCCATTAATACAAATTCGAATTCATTAACTTTTTCCGTCAAACTTCTTGGTGTAGAAAATAATCTAGTTATATATAATTAAATTATTTACGAGTCGGAACCAAAAATCGCGCGGGAACCCGAATATCTCGAAAAACCAAACATTTCCGGTCTAAGTGAGGTTACGACCGTAAACCCGTTTACGGCCGTAAACCCGTTTACGGCCAGTAAAGAGTGGACCCCACCACCGACCACAAAACCCCCTATAAATACGAGACCTCCACCTTCATTTGAACATTTCTGGCCAAAAACTCTCTCCTTCTCTCTCTAAGATCCTTGACCGTAAACCCTAAAAACACCTTCAAATTTCGGGAAACATCGAGAAACACCGTTTGGAGTCACTTCGGAACGTCTGGAAACGCTTATCTCTTCGAAATCAGCACCATCGTTCTTGAGTTTACGGTCCATCTTCAAAGACCGTAAACCCTGTTCTTGAGTTTACGGTCCAAGCCTTCAAATACCGTAAACTCTGTTTTTGATTACGGCTGTAAACTCATCAAGCCTTCAAAAACCGTAAACTACCAGTCGACCGTAAACTCTTGTTCACGGCCGT